AATAGATTTTCAAGTTTTTAACTCATTCCTGATAACTTCTATATATAGATATATATATCGATTTTTTAACCAAAATTCATTAATTTAACCAAAAAAATATGTAGCAAAATTTTTGAAGCCCTAGCATATAACTTATTATAGTATTGAATCTAACAAACAACTATCACAATATTCTCCCTCTTCTATATTTATGGGATGAAGACATTCTCTACAAAGAGTAACATTAAGAATTGTAAGCTCATCTCTATAAGCATCTATTATTTCCTTATAAGTTTTTTCTCGCATATTTGCAAGCATAACTTTAACAGTATTAATTATATCATTATAAGGTCTTTTTTGTGTATTTGATCGAAGCCTATCATAGTATCGAGTAACATAATATCCTCTTTTATGAATTTTGCATCGTCCATAACCAGAAGCAGTTGGTTTTCCACAATCGGTACAAAGTACACATTTTTTTGATTTATAATGAAGACGACATCCCTCAGGACATGTACTTGGACCATTACAAATTTTACAAATTTTACCAGAATTATGTATATATTGGCAGGTATATTCACCGATCATATTTGATTAGGATAAATAATTAATTAAAGTGAAGATTTTATAAAAGTAATATATAATACTTTTTATACACGATGGTTAAAAATACTACTTGTGATAGATGTGGTCTAAATCTTTCCACTTATCAGAAATATCAACAATATTTAAATCGGAAAAATCCTTGCTGACCTAAAAATTTTACTCAAGCTCCAATAGGAAATCCAGCTATAGCCTCAGTAGAAAATCCAGCACCAGCTCCAGAAAACGATCTCATTTCATTTGATAAAAACCAACCGATGCATCAGCCAGCCCAGCTGAGAAAAAAAAATGTGCCACCTGTCGATCTTTTAACTAATGATATTTCAAATATAAAAGCTGGGCCAAGTTCTATTATTCAAGGAGAACAAAAAAAAAATCAGTTTTAACGATAGATGAGTTGATAAAATGGTTAACAAAATCAGGAATTAAAAATAATAAAAAAATTAGATCAAACCCTATACCTAAAACAGATGAAGAATGGTATGATTTAATGGAAACTGATAATAAAGATAGTGAACCAAGCGATTCAGAATATAATACAGCGGATGAAGATCCAGATATATATTTCGAAAAAAGAAAAGATCCATATATTAATAGAATATCGGAAACTGAAAAATTTAATGAAGGAGAGGTATGTGATTACTATGCATTTGTGCCAAAAGGTTATTATGCGGAAAACGAGCCATTAGGCTTTTTTGAATCAATTGAGGAAAAAATTGCTGATGTGTATAAAAAAGAATTAGTTTTAAAGAGAGGATTAAAGGTAAGAATCATATTAATAGCATATATAAAGAAAATTATGCCAGAATCTCCAAAGCCAACATTTAAATCAATTCCATTCAAATATAGTACAATAGAAATAATAAGAGAAGATAGAATTAATGCAACTATAAAAAAAGGATATAATGAAATTATAGATGAAATAGAAGATGAAGCATTACAAGAGTCAGGATGGTCTTTTGTTCGAGCAGAAGAGGTATTTCTCGAGATAAGTGCATTTAGACCATTGCGAGGTAGTAGTTATTTAGCTTTACCGAAAGCTTTAGATAAACCTCTACTAGGATTAATTAATCCACAAAATAATGAAGATAATGAGTGTTTTAAATAGTGTATTAGTGCATATCATACAAGAGAAGAAGCAATAAAAAATAATAGAAAATCACCACACCTTAATGAAATTCGAAGACTTAGACGTAATGCAAATATTGCTAATTTTGAAGGTATAAAATTTCCAGCAACACTACATGATGTTGATAAATTCGAGGAAAATAATCCAAACTATGCTATAAATATATTTCCACCATTTTATAGAGAAGCTTTCAGAAAAATAATAGTAGATATAGACCTATTACATATTTCAGAACGAAATTATCAAGTAGCACATATGATAGATTTATTATATTTAACAGAAGGTGAGAAGAATTTAAATGATAGAAAAAATTGTAACGATATACCAGAAGGATTAAAAACACATTATGTATATATAACAGATTTTGAGCGATTATTGCATAAGTGGAATAATCATCATGGAAAGAAATACTTTTGTCGAAAATGCTTGCGATTTCCATATAGTAGATTAGATCTATTACAAGAACACATTCCTAAATGCCCAGGTTCAAGTAAAGCCTCACAATATTTAATTCTTCCAGAAGAAGGTAAGAATTACGTAAAACCTAAATATATCAAAAATATGTTAATAAAGTCTTATTTAATTAGTATGGATTTGGAAGCTGAAGAGATCGAAGTAGAAAAAGAAGATAAAGAAGGAAATACTATAAAAGAAGCAGAGCAAAAAGTAATTTCATACGAATATACAATACATTGTTCAGATGGAAAAACTCAAAAACCGGTAATTAATCGAGAATCAAAAAACATAATAAAGGACTTAATGTATAATCTTCAAGAAGATCTAGATGTTATTTTAAATAAGCTCTGTGATCCTCTTCCATGTGAAAAATTGATACCAAAATTATGGAGGCAGTATCAAACGGCAAACAAATGTTGGATATGTGAAAAAAAATTACACGAATCAGGATACAATAAAATTCGGGTATTTGATCCAGAAACTAAAAAATATTTAGGAGCTTTGCATAGAAAATGCCACAGGAAAAAGCCAATGATTCAAGGTAAGTTAGATGTTAACCAAAAAGAAAAACATAAATCTTGTAAGGTATGTATGTATTGCAAAACACAATTGCCAGATGAAGAAAAAAATAGAGTACTAGATCACGATCATATTACAGGAAAGTTTCGTGGTGTATCACATAATAGTTGCAATCTTAAATTGTGTATTGATCCAGAAACAATAAAAATTCCTGTATTATTTTGTAATGGCAGTGGTTATGATTTTCATCATTTTATACAAGAAATAGAGAAAGTAACAGATGAAAAAATAATACCTATAGCAAATAATTCTGAGTAATATATTACTTTCTCAGTTGGCCAACTTCAATTTATTAATAGCATAAAATTTTCGTTACCTGGTTTAGCAAAAATGGCAGAAAACTTACGTGATGAAAAGAAAGGTCAAACTAAAATGCCTGAACAACTGGCAAAATGTTTTCCTATTATGTCAAAATTCATCTCACCTCATTTACTATCTTTACTTATGCGTAAAGAGATCTTTCCATATCAATGGTTAAATAGCAAAAAGAAATTTAATGAAACACAACTACCACCACGTAAGGATTTTAATAGTGACTTAGATGGATGTAATTATTGCGACCACAATTGCAGAATCATAAAATGTGAACATAAAAAAAGCATAGAAGAATGTGAACATAAATGTAAGAAATGCGAGCATAAAAAAGAACCAGGTAATTGTAATAAATGTGAAGAAAGCAAAGAATATAAGCATGAAAAAATTTACACCATATCTCAAAAGGATTATAACTTTGCACAGACAGTTTGGTGAGAAACAGGTTGCAAGACTTTTGGTGATTATCATGATATTTATCTTAAGTCAGATGTATTAATTCTAGTAGATGCCTTTGAAGCCTTCCGAAAAGTATCTTATTCAGCATTCAAACTCAATCCAGCAAATTATTTAACAGTACCAGGTCTAGCATGGGATGCCTGTATGAAGGTAACAAAAGTTAAACTAGAATTATTTCATGAACACCAAGGAGATATGCATGACTTCTTTACAGCTATGAAAAGAGGAGGAATGTCCTTAGCTAGAAGGCGTATAGCTCGAGCAAATATTTCAGGATTAGAAGGATATGACGGGAAAAAAGCGAAAAAATGGTTACTCTATTTGAATGCCAATAATCTTTATGGTTGGGCAATGAGTCAATATTTACCAACCAGAGGATTTAAATAGCTATCAACAAAACCTTTCGATACTAATTCTCCATTAGTGCAGAAAATTTTATTGTTAAAAGAAAAAGCAAATCGAGGATGTTGCTTAGAAGTTAAGTTATTAATTCCAAAAGAGTTACAGCCTAAATTTCGAGATTATCCTATGTGCCCAGAACGAAAGAATATACCATATGACTGGTATAGTTCAAAACAAAAAGAATGGGCAAGTAAATATCATTCAGATACAGAAAAACTTATATTAACTCTCCATGATAAAGATAACTATGTTATTCATTATAGAAATCTACAACAATGCATAAGAGAAGGGTATATTCTAGAAAAAGTATATCAGGTTCTAGAATTTGATCAATCACCATGGATGGAACCATACATTGCAATGAATACATAGCAACGAGCCAAAGCAAAGAATGCATTTGAAAAAGATTTCTGGAAATTAATGAATAATTCAGCATTTGAGAAAACTATGGAGGATGTGAGAAAACGTGTAAATATAGATTTAGTGAGACAGGTAGGAGAAGAACGACGATTACGTAGATTAATTTCAGATCCAGCATTTGTTAGTCAGAAGATTTTCTATGGAGCTAATTTGGTTGCAGTACATCGAAAGCAAACCAATGTGAAACTCAATAAACCGGAATATGTTGGTGCATGTATTCTTGATCTATCGAAATATTATATGTATGACTTTTGGTATGGATATCTTAAAAAGAGGGATATGGTGACAAAGTAAAACTTTTATATACTGATACAGATTCTCTAATCATAGTAATTGAGACAGAAAATATATATCAAGACATGGTTGATAATTGCGATTTATTTGATTTTAGCGATTACCCTGAAGACCATTGGGTAATAAAGAATCTTCCAGAAAATCAATAGATAATTAACGAAGAAGGTAAGTGTGTCTTAAAAAATACCAAAATTATAGGTAAATGGAAGGATGAAAATGCAGGTATCAGAGTTACTGGTTATGTCGGGGTTAGAGCGAAATGTTATAGCGTTATTACAGAAAATCCACAAAAAAATATGATCAAAGCGAAGGGTCTTAAAAAATCTCTTATCAAAAAAGAGCTTACACATAAAATATTCGAGGACTGTGTTTTAGAAAGAAAAGAGGATCAGCCACGAACTGCACAATTCCTCTGAAGTTACAGACATCGAATATATAGAATAAAGCAAACAAAGAGAAGTGTTAATCCACTAGATACGAAATTGTGGATAGCACAAGATATGGAAACGACATATTTATATGGGGATTGTGAAATTTCGGAAGAATAAACACCCAACTAAATCGTTCTACTTATTATAATCTATATACTGTATCTATTTTTTATGATTTAAAATATCATGCATCTAGTTATTAATCGATATCGACATCGAATAGACTATATGTTTCAAAATTTTTCTTATACATGATATAAAATAATTCTATTAGCTTAATTAGCTTAAGAAACTCTTCTTTTTTTTTTTTTTTTTTTTGTAGGTAAACATCATTTCTTTATTTGATTTGTATATATCAAGGTATACATCGTGAAA